GGGAGAAGGACCAAGAACATCAGTAGAATTCAGTATTTCTCTATACTCGTGTGTTCTTTTTCTATGTTATATTCAGTCTCAGGTGAGTTCTGACATAGTGATGACCCTCGGCACATTTTCCTCAATAATTCTTGAAAATGAGAGTTTTATATTTGAGTCTCACCAGCAACTTTTATGTTAACTTTACCAACTCTGGATCAAGCCTCTGATTGGCTGAGCTTGAGTTTCATCCTTTGCCTTGATAGAGTGGGTAAAGTTAGTGTCACACAAGCCACGTGGAATTAGCATGGAAAAATATTTTTCACAAGAAAAAGCAAGGTACAGTTATTAGAAGAAGGGATAGTAGAAGTATGACAGGCAAGAAAAACAGACATCTAAACGTTTTATAATTCTTTTAATCTACTTTTTCTTATGTCCCCTCAAGCGAGGCATAATCATTATTGGATCCTAGCATTTGGGGCATAATTACATGTGTACATTGTTATTTTAGACCTTGTAAAAGTACCATTAAGTTTGATAGGGATGAGATCCATTGTTTAGAAGGTAGATAAAATGATACAAGTCTGATTAAACTGTAAAGGCTATGTTCTTGTTTTTTTTCTTTTTTTTTTTTTTTTGTGGTACGTGGGCCTTTCACTGCCGTGGCCTCTCCCGTTGCGGAGCACAGGCTCCGGATGCGCAGGCTCACCGGCCATGGCTCACCGGCCCAGCTGCTCCGCGGCACGTGGGATCTTCCCGGACCGGGGCACGAACTCGCGTCCCCTGCATCGGCAGGCGGACTCCCAACAACTGCGCCACCAGGGAAGCCCAAGACTATGATCTTAATGCCTAAATGATAAGTCAATTCTTTCTGGGATTAAAGAAGAATATGATCACTAACGTTGAGTAGAAAGGTTAAATCAGTGAATTGTCTGAGAATCAGCATTCCCTCTCCAATGTTCTGTGCCATCCATGTTTCTGAAAAACATGCCAGCTAAGAACTATCTCAATAAGGGCCTTGATAAGTCTTCCTTGTATCCGACAATTGGCCCCATTATGGGTGATTATAGTTAATTATCCTCATTTCTGGATTTATTTCAAAATAGTGAAATAGTCTAATTCTTAAGCTCTGGAAATGACATTTATCTTAATGGAAACATATTGTTTACACAGTTGCCCAGAATTATCAACTGCCACAGCAGACTGTGGACACACAACATAATCACTGCTCATTTTTGTTGTGGCCACAGGATATCCATGCAGGACAATCTTCCTTGTGCTAATCCAGTTGCATTGTCCAAGTCTATCACACATATTTGAAGAGAAATATTCATTGCTTTATCTATCACTTCAGCATTGAACAGAATGAACAAAAGGAAAAGAAAGAAAGAAAAATAAATTAAAGAAAGGAAGGAATAAAGAAGGAAAAAGAAAAAAGGGAGTAAAAACTTTTAACTGAAGATGCAAATTTTAAGTAGTATAGATTACATACACCAATTCTGAGATATGTTATTAACTTTATTATCATTTCTAATAAATTTACTCATGTATGGATGGTTTGTGTTAACACATAAGGCCTCATATTAGATGTACTTCACTAATCTTGTCTCAATTTTATTTATTTATCTTAATTTTATTTTTTAGCTATTTTAACTTTCTATTTTGAGATAACTGCTCCCAGTTTTATTGAGAAATAATTGACATACATCACTGTATAATTTAAGCCATATATCATGATGGTTTGATTTACATATATTGTGAAATGATGACCATGGTAGGTTTAGCCCATCCATCTTCTCATATAGATACAGTAAAAAGCAAAGAAAGAAAGAAGGAAAAATATTTTCCTTGTGATCAGAGCTCTTAGGATTTTCTCTCTTAACAATTTTTCTATATATCATACATCAGTGTTAGCTATAGTTATCATGCTGGACATTACGTCCCTAGAACATATTTATCTTATAACTGGAAATTTGTACCTCTTGACCACCTTCCTCCAATTACCCCTCCTTGTACCCTTCACCTTGGTAATCATAAGTCTGTGAGTTTGGTTTTTTTTATTTAGTTTCTCTATCTGACTTATCTTCCTTCAGATTTCATCCATGTTGTTTCTAATGGTAGTATTTCCTCATTTTAATGGCTGTTTTACATACATATATATCACAGCGTCTCTGTTCATTCATCCATCAGTGGACACTTAGGTTGTTTCCATGTCTTGGCTACTGTAAATATTGCTGCTATGAACACGGGGTGGGGCGGGGGGGCTGTACAGATATCTTTTCAAGTTAATGTTTTCTTTTTCTTTGGTTATATTCCAAGAAGTGGAATTGCTGGATCTTATGGTAGTTCTATTTTTAATTTTTTGAGTATCCTCCATACTGTTTTCATAGTGGCTGTAGCAATTTACAATTCCACCAGGAGTGCACAAAGATTCCCTTTTCTCTGCATTCATGCCAGCATTTATCTCTTGTCTTTTTGATGATGGCCATTCTAACAGGCATGAAGTGATATTTTATCATTTCAATCTGCTTTTCCCTAATGACTAGTGATGTTGAGGATTTTTTCATGTACCTGTTGACCTTTTCTATATCTTCTTTGGAGAAATGTCTATTCAGGTCCTTTGTCCATTTTTTAATTAGGTTATTATTATTTTTTTTGCTATTGAGTTATATGAGTTCTTTACATGTTTTAGATATTAACCCCTTATCATCAAATATATGGTTTGCAACTTTTTTTTTTCACCATTTCGTAGGTTTTCTTTTTACTTGTTGATGGTTTCTTTTGCTATGCAGAAGTTATTTAGTTTGATGCAGTCCCACTTGCTATTTTTTTGCTTGTGCTTTAACTATCAGATCCAAAAAGACATTACAAACATTGGAGTAGCAAATTAATACAGAATGTTCTCATGTACCTTTACCCCAAACCTCTAATGTAACATCATACAATGATACTACAATTATTAAGCCAGAAAATTAACATTAATATAATATTAGTAAACAAACTATAGACCTTATTTGAATTTCACCCATCTTTCCACTAAAAAACTATAGCCATAAAAATGATGAAAATCAAAGTGAATAACAGATCTCTAGAGATAGTAAAGATATATCCCTTATGTACAAAAACAATAAGAGAAATCAAAAAAGAAAAATAGACAATTTTAATGGAAAAAATATTAAGATTACACATGTCGAAAATATCATAAATAGACATGTACAGAAGGAAACTTAGGGTATTTTTTTTAACCTACAGACTGAGCAACACTGCAGAGTTAGAACATCAATATGTATCTCGTTATTATAGTTTATGAGCTTTTAAATACAGGAATACTGTACATTAAATACTCTTTAAAAACCTTAATCTTGTGTTTTGTTGTATAATGAATACAAATATTTGCAAAAAAAACATTACTAAGTGAATCAAGATAACTCCTCATTTGTGTAAAACATTTCAAGGTATTAAAATTCTAAGTAAGTTTTTTACAATTTCAACTCTTAGCTAAGGAGGAAAAGTTAGACAAAGGATTCTTTCAAACTGAGGCAGCTGTACCCACTATCTGCATGACAGGAAAATAAAATAGGAAATGGTGTGCATAATCAGGTGAGAATTGTGTGTGAAGAAGTCTTTTTTTTTTTGTACATTTTATTTATTTATTTTTAATGTATCTTTATTGAAGTATAACTGCTTCACAATACTACACTAGCCTCTGCCACACAACAAAGTGAATCAGCCATATGCATACATACATCCCATAACCCCTCCCTCTTGAGCCTCCCTCCCACCCTCCCTATCCCACCCCTCTAAGTCGTTGCAAAGCACTGAGCTGATCTCCCTGTGCTGTGCTGCTGCTTCCCATTAGCTATTTTACATTTGGTAGTGTATATATGTCGATGCTACTCTCACTTCGCCCCAGCTTCTCCCTCCCCTCTGTGTCCTCAAGTCCATTATCTATGTCTATGTCTTTACTCCTGTCCTGCCACTAGGTTCATCAGTAACAGTGCAGTAAGTCGGAAAGAGATCAACAAATACCGTATGCTAACGCATGTATACGGAACCTAAAAAAAAAAAAAAAAAAAAAAGGTACTGATGAAGAAGAAGTCTTAAATTTGAAGTATTCATTCATTCAGTTATTCATTCACGCTGCATAAATTTAATTCAATTTGCTTATGATGCTCATCAAATTGACTCTCTTTAGAGCCATTATATATGAGATGTACTTTCCATTACATTGTTTGCTCCTGTAGAGACAGTACAAAGTCTAAATCCTGTGGGTTTTACAAAGTTTTCTGCTCTCCTTTAGCCTGCCTGTCTAAAAGAAGAGTAGGTACTCAGTTATGGGACAAAGAAAAGCCTGAGTGTAATGAGGGATATATAATTGACTCACTGTAAGGGTTTAGATTCAGATGGCTAACACTTTGCTTCCATTTCTAAAGTAACAAGTAACATTCATTCTATGAAAGTCCAGCAAATAGAGTACACTTTTGAGGCCTGGAAGAAGAAATAGTTTCTGAGCATCAAGAAGCACTTTGAGTGCAATGCACAGGTGTCAGGAATATAAGTGGACTCTAAACCCATAACATTTAAAGGAAATTCAGACCCTAGAGTGTCTGTGACTATATTAGACTAGATTCCAAGGTGACCAGCATCCAGATGATGGTAGAAATAAATGTTTGCTGTTTAGAGGGGTGCTTTAAGAAACTAGTACCAACTACACATTTGAAACTAAAATTATTTTATAAGACAACATACATGAATATAATAAAACAGAGTTAAATGTAAGACCAAAGAAAGTTCCATATTTTCTAATAAATGTGTTAATGCTAATATGTCAGATTTTTTGTTAAATAAAGGAAACATTCTTTTACATTACAGATTCAACTCAATTTATTGCAAATCCACTACATCTCATATCATGAAGGACTTATCTGTGAACAAGACATAGAGAAATACTGCTGACATATTTAAGGAAATTTTTAATATTTTATAACTTCTTAGCAATAAAACTATGTTTCTTTCTTCAGAATAAAAGCTTGAAACACAAACTCTTGTCAGGAAACAAGCTATGTGGAATACATGCAGAAGAGGTAAGTTTTCACTTCTTATAGTTTCAACTGAATAGAAACAATATTAGTGCCAATTTTTTTTGTTAAACCCAGACATCTGGTGATGGTTTTCCCCTAAAACATAAATGCAAACATTGGAATAAGAAAATAAAAACACATTTTAAACTTCTAGGTATTTTTGGATGTTTTGACAGTTCATCTCCAAAACGAAAAAGAAAAATTTTAAGCCAGTTAAGTGTCACTTTCCTAAATGATATTCTGGATTCCTTCCTTAACTGGATTATCAGGATTTCCTCACTAGGAAACACCTGGAAGGCCATGAAATTTTCACTTTTGGTATCTTCTATGTGATGTCTACACGGTTTTGCAGTGACAATCAAGTGTCAAAATGAGGATCTAGGACTGACCATAAAACTTAACAAATAGAGTCATTGGTTCTATTTGCTGGACAAGAATATCATCTCATACATTTCTTAGGGGGAAAAAAAGTCATTCTGTTTAGTCCAGGTTTAATTAAAATCAATTTTTTGTCCTCTTGATCTTCCAAATCAATCTGTACTTTATTTAATGTTGTAGAAATATAGCTCATAGTCAACAATTCTTAGTAATAGTAAAGACATAGTAGAAATAGTGCCATAGTAAGTGATTCTTTATACCTCAAGGAGAGGAGACAGCATTCAGTGTATTAGCTGGAGCCTCAAAGAAGCATACACAAAGAAAAGATTAGTCGTGCAAATTTTTTTTAGTGGAAAAGCCTGTGAATGATAAGGAACAGGCGTGTTAGCCTTCAAACCTCAATGAAGACCTGATGCCTGTGAAGGAAGGGGAAAGGAAAGAGGTTTAGTTAGAACAAGAACAGTGTCTTACACAAGTTTACCCCTTTTCCCATAGCAGACTAGAAGCAAGGTACAGTGCTGGTGAACTACTTCTACCATCTCCTAAATATGGAGCCGCCTCTCATTCAAAAAGCCTTTTCCTGGGCTTCCCTGGTGGCGCAGTGGTTGAGAGTCTGCCTGCCGACGCAGGGGACACGTGTTCGTGCCCCGGTCCGGGAAGATCCCTCATGCCGCGGAGCGGCTAGGCCCGTGAGCCATGGCCGCTGAGCCTGTGCGTCCGGAGCCTGTGCTCCGCAACGGGAGAGGCCACAACAGTGAGAGGCCCGCGTACCGCAAAAAAAAAAAAAAAAAAAAAAAAATCATTATTATGAGTGCTGGAGTTAGAGTCAACATGCAATATAATAATCCATTTATAATATCTTTACAATAATATTATACATGAAATGAATAGAACTTTTTAATACATGGAAACTAAATGTTGATGCCCCATAAATGAATAATCAAACTGAATGGCATATAGATATGAGCCTGTGCAGTGTTGTTTTTTCATTGTATTTTTCTATTTGGATATAAATAAACTCTTTATATTGTTGATATTTGCTAGGTTTCTAGAAATATTGCATATGTAGCATGCAGTTTCTGAATGTTACTTGTAAGAGCGTAAGCAAGTGGATATGAGTTTTGAAACCACCTGGACTGAAGCTGTATTCTGAGATGGTTGACATGTTCCCAGATCCCCACAGCACCCATGTACAGGAAAAAGAGGTGTCTCCTAGGAGAAGGTGTCTGTGGTGTTTATAAACAAACAGAAGAATGAAAAAACAAACAGCAACAACAACCTGGAGCTACTTATATTTTTTAGCCCCTTAATTCAAAAAGATTCATATTTCTCATCTCAATTTCTCAGAGGACATATTATTTCTGCATTCTTATTTATGAATTCCTAGACTTTTCATAGATCAGTAATGTATAACGTTAAAATAAATTAAAATATGTTCATTATAATTTATTCATTTGCTCTATTTCCTTATTTATTTCAACTTCTTGATTTAATAGGCCAATGTAGTTGGCTCCTGACAGGAATATCTGTGAAAAACTGTGTTTCTAATGTTTGAACCTCTCAGGGGTGTATCATTTACAACACTTACAAGAGTATACTCTAATTGATGATGGTTCCAGCATTAGATGATGATTTAGTAATTATAACACTATCATAACACAGTCCCCCACTTTGCAAAATCCACTACCTTGCATAGTTGGAAACATTTTGAATGTAATAAGAAACTGAATCACAGTTGCAGTTTATTCACTGGAAGACTCATAAACATTCCATGTAGTCTTGGAAAAGTACAATATTTTAAACATATGAGAGGGCTTTACATATCAAAGAGGAGTTTTGTACCAGTACTGTTTACTAGGATATAATAATCCCATGAGGATCCTGTAGTTATTAGGTACTATGGCCAGCTACTTTATTTATTTATTTATTTAACATCTTTATTGGAGTATAACTGCTTTACAATGGTGTGTTAGTTTTTGCTTTATAACAAAGTGAATCAGTTATACACATACATATGTCCCCATACTTCTTCCCTCTTGCATCTCCCTCCCTCCTACCCTGCCTATCCCACCTCTGTAGGTGTTCACAAAGCACCGAGCTGATCTCCCTGTGCTACGCGGCTGCTTCCCACTAGCTATCTATTTTACATTTGGTAGTGTATATATGTCCATGCCACTCTCTCACTCAGTCCCAGCTTACCCTTCCCCCTCCCCATGTCCTCAAGTCCATTCTCTATGTCTGTGTCTTTATTGCTGTCCTGCCCCTAGGTTCTTCATGACCTTTTTTTTTTTTTTTAGATTCTATATATATGTGTTAGCACACGGTATTTGTTTTTCTCCCTCTGACTTACTTCACTCTGTATGACACACTCTAGGTCCATCCATCTCACTACAAATAACTCAATTTCGTTTCTTTTTATGGCTGAGTAATATTCCATCATATATATGTGCCACCTCTTCTTTATCTATTCATCTGCCAATGGACACATAGATTGCTTGCATGTCCTGGCTATTGTAAACAGAGCTACAATGACCATTTTGGTACATGACTCTTTTTGAATTTTGGTTTTCTCAGGGTATATGCCCAGTAGTGGAATTGCTGGGTCATATGGTAGTTCTATTTGTAGTTTTTTAAGGAACCTCCATACTGTTCTCCATAGTGGCTTTATCAATCTACATTCTCACCAACAGTGCAAGAGGGTTCCCTTTTCTCCACACGCTCTCCAGCATTTATAGTTTCTAGATTTTTTTGATCATGGCCATTCTGACTGGTGTGAGGTGATACTGCATTGTAGCTTTGATTTGCATTTCTCTAATGATTAATGATCTTGAGCATTCTTTCATGTGTTTGTTGGCAGTCTGTATATCTTCTTTGGAGAAATGTGTTTAGGTCTTCTGCCCATTTTTGGCTTGGGTTGTTTCCTATTTTGATATTGAGCTGCCTGTGCCACTTGTAAATTTTGGAGATTAAACCTTTGTCAGTTGCTTCATTTGCAAATATTTTCTCCCATTCTGAGGGTTGTCTTTTCGTCTTGTTTATGGTTTCCTTTGCTGTGCAAAAGCTTTGAAGTTTCATTAGGTCCCATTTGTTTATTTTTGTTTTTATTTCCATTTCTATAGGAGGTGGGTCAAATAGGATCTTGCTGTGATTTATGTCATAGAGTGTTCTGCCTATGTTTTCCTCTAAGAGTTTGATAGTGTCTGGCCTTACATTTAGCTCTCTAATCCATTTTCAGTTTATTTTTGTGTATGGTGTTAGGGAGTGTTCTAATTTCATTCTTTCACATTTAGCTGTCCAGTTTTCCCAGCACCATTTATTGAAGAGGCAGTCTTTTCTCCACTGCATATTCTTGCCTCCTTTTTCCGAGATAAGATGACCATATGGGCCTGCATTTATCTGTGGGCTTTCTCTCCTGTTCCATTGATCTATCTTTCTGTTTTATGCCAGTACCATACTGTCTTGATTACTGTAGCTTTGTAGTAAACTCTGAAGTCAGGGAGCCTGATTCCTCCAGCTCCGTTTTTTGTTCTCAAGATTGCTTTGGCTATTATGGGTCTTTTGTGTTTCCATACAAATTTAAAAATTTTTTTGTTCTAGTTCTATGCCAGTGGTAGTTTGATAGGGATTCCATTGAATCTGTAGATTGCTTTGGGTAGTATAGTCATTTTCACAGTGTTGATTCTTCCAATCCAAGACATTGGTACGTCTCTCCATCTATTTGTATCATCTTTAATTTCTTTCATCAGTGTCTTATAATTTTCTGCATACAGGTCTTTTGTCTCCTTAGTAGGTTTATTCCTAGATATTTTATTCTTTTTGTTGCAATGGTAAATGGGAGTGTTTTCTTAATTTCACTTTCAGATTTTTCATCATTAGTGTATAGGAATGCCAGAGATTTCTGTGCATTAATTTTGTATCCTGCTACTTTACCAATTTCTTTGATTAGCTCTAGTAGTTTTCCGGTAGCATCTTTAGGATTCTCTATGTATAGTATCATGTCATCTGCAAACAGTGACAGCATTACTTCTTCTTTTCTGCTTTGGATTCCTTTTATTTCTTTTTCTTCTCTGACTGCTGTGGTATAAAATTCCAAAAGTATGTTGAATAATAGTGGTGAGAGTGGGCAACCTTGTCTTGTTCCTGATCTTACTGGAAATGGTTTCAGTTTTTCACCATTGAGTATGATGTTGGCTGTGGGTTTGTCATTTATTGCCTTTATTATGTTGAGGAAAGTTCCCTCTATGCCTACTTTCTGGAGGGTTTTTATCATAAATGGGTGTTGAATTCTGTTAAAGCTTTCTCTGCATCTATTGAGATGATCATATGGTTTTTCTACTTCAATTTTTTAATATGGTGTGTCACATTGATTGATTTGCATATATTGAAGAATCCTTCAATTCCTGGAATAAAACCCACTTGACCATGGTGTATGATCCTTTTAATCTGCTGTTGGATTCTGTTTGTTAGGATTTTGTTGAGGATTTTTGCATCTATGTTGATCAGTGATATTGGCCTGTAGTTTTCTTTCTTTGTGGCATCTTTGTCTGGTTTTGGTATCAGGGTGATGGTGGCCTCCTAGAATGAGTTTAGGAGTGTTCCACCATCTGCTATATTTTGGAAGAGTT